ACTAGCAATGTATTCAGGTCAAGAAAAGACAACAGGAAGTGGAAAAATTAGTGGATATGTTGACAATAATATATTATTATATAAAGTAAATGTTAGAATTTATAACAGTTTCTGATGAATAGGGCCGGGACACCAAGCTTGTACTTCTCTGCCTTCTTGCTTTGCTATCAAGTTTCGAGTGTCACAGACATTTTTTGGTTTCTAAGCTTAGCTTTCGTAGCTCAGTTTGTGGGTAAATCTAGGTAAGCGGCTGAAAATCATGCAGGATGAGAGTTGGCCTAAAAAATCTTTATATTAATCAATTGTTTCAGTTAGTGTTACTTCGGGATGCAAAGAGCACTTTTGTGGAATTGAAGTTCCTACTAAACCTACCAGAGTCATTGTCTTTTTCAGTCTTCTTCTTTCCTTTGCGAAGACAAGTATACCAAACACTATTTAAACTACCCTTAAAAGTGCACTACAGATCTACACTACACTACTAAAGCCTAGTTGGCACTAGTGACATCACAACATAAACATGACGACCGAAGAAGGGCTTTATGTTGTTATGTTTGCAGTGTGAATGTGCTAACATAATGACATACCTTAATAGCAATRTAACAGCCTGACCATATCAACATGAAGAAAAAAAAAACTGATCCTTTAATTATGTCCTTATGTCGATGTTTTACGTTACCGACTTACGTGATTATGTCAGCGTTGCATGTCATTTATGTCATCATGTCACCAGTGTGAATCATACGTAACAGTACATTCCTTTGTTGAAAAAATAGTGATTCTTAATCAGTTCCTTTGAAAGTAATTCTGAACTGCAGAGTGTTGCTTTAAGTGGAATTTTGACGGGCTGCTGCTACATGTAAGTCAAAGAAAGGAAGTTTAATATTTTTGATTTTGATGAAGAAATCCAGCGAAAGATGTATTTATGGTGACTGTATATTTAAATAAATAATGTACCCACTAGATCTCCTTTCCTGACTTGTTTGGTCTTGTCTTACCGATAATCATCAGCT